AGATTCTCCCGCCGTCAAGTCGCAATACATCATCCTTCATCCTGAAACGTAATTCACAACTTTATATTTGTCGACGGCTACGACCGTCTTGACCGTTTATGCCTCTCGAAGGTCTTCAACCTCGTATCGGTCATTAATGAGAGCCTTTCATATTCGGAAAAGTCCTTATACATCATAGCAGCTCGACGATGTCATCTAAACGTTGATGTACTCATATTCTGCAACATATATTCGTATAACATCGAAATAATGTTTAGTTTCTGTAGGTGTTCCTCCTTGCATGATTATTCGGACTAATCAATTTTTCGTCCTGTAGCTGGGTGACCAATTACTTAATCAACTTCAGTAATTTCTATGTACGTGGGCTATTTCTAACTTTATTGGTACAGGATTGCGGTTAGAGGCATTCACTTAGTCTCGCTCAGTATATCAAATGTACACAGAAAAAAAATGTTGCTGGCTACAGTTAATTCTAATTAGCTGAAATTGCATTAGCTATTATAGCTATGAAATTTGCTAATATATACAAAAAGGATTTGCTGCTGTAATATAAGAACATGATAGCAAAGTATACATGTCTGTTACAAATCAATTTATTTAGCATGAAGTTAATTGTTATAGTTATCGGATATGTCAGTGTAAAAGAAAATTATCTCTACTACAGCTAAATATGGTTTGCTGAAACTGTACTTGCTATCAAATTGTTTGCTATATAGAAAACATTTGCTACAATGATCAATAGATCAATAGACATAATAGCAATAAAATGCTTGTTACAATGATAATATTTAGATCTCACAACTAATAGAAATTAGACCTCGTAAATATAACGTTAGGTATCCATATATTACGACTGGAATTTAATTACTACACGCAAATTTTTGCTGCTGCAACAGACTTTTTTTTTCGTATATACTCTTGAATTTCTAACCATCAAATTCGGGATAACAAATTGCGTTTAGTGAAAGCAGACCATAACGCATTGCAGTCGGTTATGATTTTAAATAGATTTTTAATAAATACATCTTAAAGTGAAATAAGAGACCATTACCACGGTCATAGTCTCCAATTCGTGAGAATGATCGTAGTGTTGATCCTCGCTGTATCGTTTATTTATTAATCTTTTCAATGGAACCAGGCTCCATCGATAATGTATCCTAATAATAACCCGATATCAAATCAAATCCCGTAAAGTAATGGTGCCCACCGAGTTTATTAAGTTGAGTTCGGGAGCGGATATTTGTTCTTAATGGTAATAGCGTTCAACTTATCTTTAATTATGCAATTATATCATTGTACGAATCTGGCAGTTTTTTTTTGTTCTTATGTCATTTATTTTATCTTGCTTAATACATTTTAGATTTATATTGCATGAATTATATGTATATACTTGCATTTTTTATGTTTTTTCACGATCAATTTTTAGTGACAAATTTATTAAATTTTTTAAATTTTAAATAGAAAGATAGGTTATATCTTCAAGGTAGACGAATTACGAACCAAATGGAAAACATGTATGTAGGCTACTTTGAGCACATATCTCTTCATTGCATGCATATCCTCTTCACCTATTTTTGATTAGTTTCGAGCTGTTGCGTCTTTTATCCGGCATCTCTGTAACAGTCCGCTGCTAATTTCTCACAATGTTATATTGTACATAAAAATAAACTATAAAATAAACGATATTTTTCTAACCACTCAGATAAAAGTTTAAAAAATTAATGATATGAACAAAGAGAGCAAGGATGTGAAATTTTTTTTTAAACAATTTAAAATTACTATTTCAAACATACATATTGTATATAAAAAATAAGATTTCAATCACTAACTTTTTTTATTGGACTTTTTTGTAAGTATAACTATATTATAACTTCTTGAACCAGAAATAATATTGCCTAAATATCAAATAATACTTATTTTGAGTCAGAATATTCAAATTATTTTTGTAAAGTGTACTACATGAAATAAAAATAAATATAATATACCATTTTTCATATCTTAAAAAAATATATTCCAGAGATATATTCTAAAATTATGTTTGAAAAGTAGCTTAAAACATTGTTCACCTGGAAAAAACTTTTTACATACAATAATTATATTGTATAGATAAATGTTAGGATATATAGGAAAGAGTTGTCGAATGTATACCATGTTTCCTAAAAGGAAAGCAAGTTTGAAGAACTTTGGCTGTTTTTTAATAAAAGATACAATGTAATACAATACAATAAATCATTACATCCTTGTTTGCCAATGTTAAACAAAGTCATATAAGTTATTTAATCAAGGCAAAAGCTAATAAGTTGATATTATAAGTTTTAATATTTTGGAACTAATGATGCAAGTTTTACATCCAAACGTACTGACACATTATAATTTATATATTGTACAATTTGTATTGTATATATAATATACAATTATATATACAATTGTATATTGTATATGTATATATAAATTATATCTATACATTGATGAGAAAATTGAAAGTTATAAAATTGATTAATCCAATTTTATTGCTCAAAATCAACATGTATTTCAAAATACAAAATACGACAAAATTAAGATTTAAATAAATGTTTCCCTTTGAATTGAGAAATTAATTTCATGATGTTCCCACAAATGATCATCCATTCTGTATCCCATTTAGCATTGGCTTCTGCAATTCTATGGAAACTGTTACTTCGATGATCCACGAATCATGAATTTTAATGGATGTATAACTGTGACATATCTTCAACAATTATCATTTCAGCAGTATTAAGAAGGTTCTTGCGCTACTTTTTAGTTAATAGATAATTTATTCATAATAATATATAAAACAATTAAAATATTGAAATAAAAAGATTACTAACAATATCTTATGCCATTGTACATAATTATTTTATATGTTACTAAATATTTTTAAAATGACAAAATAAAAGTTGTAAGATGATCAATTGTATATACATTTTTTTGTATCTCACATTGTCCATTTAACATATATTCTAACTTTTTTTTATTGAAGAATATAAATTTCTTGTGAACTATATAGTCAGTTTAAATGAAACTTTATGAGAACAAATTTAAGTGTTTACTTTATAATTATAACAATTTTTTAATTGCTTTCTTACTACGCAAGTGTCTCAATTTAAAAGAGAATAACTGAGAATAAGAGAATAAGATTATACCTTCAACTTGTAATGTAAAATTCTATAAATTTAGAATTAAATATCTTCAAATAGAATGATAAAAATTAATAAAATTTTTTCTAAATATTAAATTGATATTATTAATATTTATATTA